GAGTCGTTGAGCAACTTGAGCAGGATCCGCCACCGTTCCCTCGGGCACGAGGTGGACTTTCCTGTGGTGGAGGTTGCAGGTTGCAAAGAGGTGGGCGCGCTGGTGGCCTTGCCTTTGTCGGCGCGCCAGCGGCACGTAGACCTTCACTAATTAGATAACTAAGCCGAGAGGGGCCGTCACGGCCAAGCCCGGCCGCGAGCGGCAGGTCAGGCAGGCGGCAGGCGGCCGCCAGCCAAGTCCAGCCGGCCGCCGAGAAGCGGGGAACGGGAAGGAAGGACGGGAGGGGCCGCCGGGCCGCCTATGCCACCCCCGCCGATACAGCAGCAGCACCGCCGTCGTCCTCGGGGGGGCGGCCCGGGCAGCCCCGCGGGGGAGGCAGGTAGGACCCGCCTCCTTGTGAGCCTGCCAGACGTCCGCCTCGATGATGGCCAGCGCCAGCCGGCGCGCAGCCACCTGAAAGCGGGCCCGGTCCGCGGGGTGTGGGCCCGAAGCGCGCGTGATCCACTCCGTCTTGGACGTGGCGCGGGGCGCCGTCCACCAGCCGGGGGCCAGGCCAAATCCCCTCTTGAGGTCACCCCGGGCCGCGACGAACCGGGGGCAGTCCGCGAACAGATGCCAAGTGGAACACCGGGGCTCGGGGCACCAAAGGCAGCGGGTGCGAGCCTCGCCTGCCGGAGACCACCGCTGGGTCGGAGTCCACGTGCCGCCGCGCCGCCAGACACGAAACCACCAACGTTCCTTGGGCCGCGGGGAGCAGGCCCACTGCACCTGCACGGGATTTCTCTGAAATTCCACGCTAACGTCGCTCAACCCTTCCTCGTCCTGGCGCCGTTTGGCGCCGGACCGCTCAATGAGGCACTTTGCGCGAGCACAGACACAGAGGACGTGCTGCCAGAGGTTAGTGGCCCCGTCAAAAAACCCGGGACCTGCGAAAACCATGCAGCCCGGGCAGCGGCCGCGGCCGCCCGAGGGTCCAAGCCAGGGCCCGGGACAAGCCAGACACCTCCCGGGGGAGGGCCCGCAGAAAAATCCGCGGGGCGAAGACAAACGGCGGCACCGTGGACCCGGATCGCGAGAGCAAGCAGGGCCGAGTGAGGTAGCCCGGCGGCGGCCCTGAGGGTTCTCGTAGCAGCCGCGTGCACAGGGTGGGCACGGATGTTGGTGGCCCAGGATCTGCGATCGCACCACCAACTGGCCTGCATCCGAACGATGGCGTCTTTACACACATGGGGCAGTCCCGAGGCAGGCGGCGGGGCCTGGATAAAAGGGGCGGGCCACAGAAACTTGCTCAAAATCCAAAAAGGACGGCCTGCTCCCTGACCTCCCAGCCCCCCAGGAGAAGACGGACCCGACCGAGGGCGACAACGACAGGGTCCCAACCGCCGCGTGGCGGCAACAATCAGTCCCCTGGAGCTATTCGCCTCAGTCCTGAGCAAAGAAAGGGGCCCAGACCCCAAATGGATGGATTTCACGGGGCTCCCCACCTGCCTGGGGAGTGGCCTCGCAGCACTTGCTCGGAGCCAAGGGAAGCGCCCAAGACGGGCCCCGAGGTGGCCCAAGAGGCATCCAAACCGGTCCAAGATGGCCCATAGTCGCCGAAACATCGCTCCAAGACGCCCAACATGGCCCATGAGACCACCCAAGACGCCCCAAGAGGGCTCTAAGGGCCCCCCCGAGAGGCCCAAATCGCTGATTCCCCCTGGGGTGTATGATTCACGCCTTCGCCATTTCAAGCTTTCGACGCTCCAAGACGGCCCAAGGGCCCCAAGATCGCCCCAAAGCCCCAGAGACCTCAACACAGGCCCCAAGAAGCACCCAAAACGGCTCAAGAGAACGAAAAGAAAAGTCCCAGAAGGATAACACGAACTGGTATTTCGAGCTCTCCGCCCCAAGACAACCTCCGAAATAGCCAGCATCCCCCCAAGAAGCAATCCCAGAGGCCCCAGGAGGCCCCCAAGATGTCGAAATCAGGCCCTGGAGGTTCCCAAAAGGCATGCGAGAGGCTACAAAACCCTCACAGACCGCCTCCAAGAGGCTTCCGAGAGACCTCCCAAGATCCCAGCAAGCACCCAGGTGGCTCCGGACCCAAAACCAGGGCACGTTGGCGGAACGGGCCGAATGCCACCAGATTCGCCGCCCCCTGTTGAATCATCTCAAGGGTGCCCGGCGTGCTGAATGTCTTACGGCTTGATTTTGGTTCTTTTCCTATAGAGCTCCCCCTGGGGCTTCGGCCAACTGCGCCGGGGTGCCCTCCCGTCGGCTTTTTCGGTCCAGATTGCCTCCGTACGGCCTCTGAGACGGCCAGCATGCTTTCAGGACGGCCCCACCAGAGCCCGGGATGGCCCTAGGATGGCCTCCAAGATGGTCCCACGATGCCTCCAGGATCGCCAAGGTGGTCCAAGAGAGCCCAAGACGGCCAACGAAACGCCCACGATGCCCCTGACATGGCCGAAGGGCCCTCCAAGAGGTCTTCCAGGAAGGCCCGAAGAAGCCAAACCGATCGAGGCTCCTTCGGGTTCGACGGATTTTGGCACTCGCTTCTTTTCAGCCTCCCGACGGCCCAGGGCGGCCCACGACGCCCCCGAGATCGCCCGAGAGGCCTCCAAGATAGCCTCATGACGGCCCAAACGGTCCCCACGACGGCCCCGAGAAGGCCTCAAGAGGCCTCCAGGACGCCCACCTTGATTTCTAAGACGGCCTTTAAGTGCCTCGAGAGGGCCCTCAAACGACGGCGTCGGATGGGCCAGGAACACCCTAAGACGGTCAAAGAGGTCCCCAAGAAGCCCGAGGTCCCCGAGAAGCCCCCGGATGCCCCCAAGAGGCCCAGGGAGGCTCCCAAGAGGCCCCCAAGAGACCCTCAGTAAGCTCCCAGGAAGCTCCAAGAGTGCCTCAAGAAACTACCATGAGCTTTCATCCTCATCCCACTCCTCCTCCTACTCCTCCTTCTCCCTCTCCTGATATTCTCCCTCTCACCGTCCCCCAAGTGTTATAAAGTGTTCCCCCGAGAGTTTCCAGCGCGGCTGGGGGAACACGTAGTCCAATAGTTTTGGCCAAGCTGGGGCCCAACGTTTAGCCACAGAGGCGCTTCCCAAAAGGCAGGGGCGGCGGTGATTCGCCGTAGGCGTCTTCGATGTCTGAACCGACTTATCGCAACCGAGGGAAGCCGACGAACACACACACACCATCGACGCGCAAACACGTACTTTCCAGGAAAGCCCCGTTACACCAAACTATAAGGCTGTATTGACATGCCACGTGATGGTTGGTGTTCTCGGCATCAGGCTTCTGAACCTAAGGCTTGAACGTCAGAGAGGCTTCACCACAACAATAATGACATTAATGACACAAAGAGGCGGACCGCCTGAGGAAAGGGAACGGCAACGCAGGATGACAGGGAGGAGAGATGAGTATGGAAGAGAGTGAGCGAGACAGAACGTAGTCCAGCACACACACACATATCTATCTATCTATATATACGCTCAATCTGGCAGCGTATAGCAACAGCTCCGATTGCGAATGCAGCCCCCATATTCATTCCCTGCCCTCGACAATGCACTCTTTCTGGTACAACTTCGGTGGGCGAGATAGCGGGGTGGAGACAATGCCCAGAGGGAGCGGCAAAGACGCAGCTCGGCAACATGCTTTTCCACGACGGTCGTCTGGACTGCGCGAGCTGAAAAAGGAAAACACCGCGCGCCGCTGTTCAGCAGCTGCGGGGGCAGCGGCCAACTGGGAGGGAGTCCCAAGACTAAGGGCGTCGCACGTCGTCGTCCGCAGGGACACGCGCCAGCGGACTGCTGCGGGGCAGGGGCCACGGGCAGACCAGCGTGCGAACCAAACAACTGGCCCTGCATCAACCACCGACTCACTCACGGTCCTTCGTGCTCAAACTCAAACCGTGTAGCCGTGGCGCCCACTGGAGTCGCGATAGTTTCGCCAGCCCCACCACCAATCAAACATCGATGTCAAGACGCCGTCACTCGAGCGCGAATGCTTCGCACAACACCGAACCGATATCGTGATCAAGACCTGTCCGATTCGGCGTGCTGAGTGCATGCGGTACGCTAACTCTGCGCGGATCACCGTCCTCCTTTTCCTCCTGCGCCCCCGCCTTCACTCGGGCGCCCACTGATATGGGCTACAGATCGTGGAAAACACCCCCCGGCACACGAATCCGATGCCGCCCGACTGGGGAAACCGACATGTACCGACACCGCTGCTCCCCAGACCTCTCCCGGGGTGCGTTCTGACCGAAATCTCGGGGCGAATCCAGTGGTGGCGACGAAGGCCTCTCGTGAGGCCCACAAAAAGAGGAAATTCGAGCGAAGGGTAGAGAGGCATGGGCCATGGGCACCTTTCCCTCGTCTGATCGGAAGCACGGCCGCGGCTGCGAATCCAGCCGTGGCGACGAGTGCCTCCCGGGAGGCCCCCAAAAGAGAGCGAGAGGAGGAGGAGGAGGAGGAGGAGGAGGAGGAGGAGGAGGAGGAGGAGGAGGAGGAGGAGGAGGAGGAGGAGGAAAAAGCTTCCTTATCTCATGTGCCCTGTCCGTGGCGCCCCCCCTCGCGGCCCCCCGGGGGTCTCCCTAATGCCCCTGGCTGGCGACAGCGACGGCGCGGCGCCTCTCCGGCATGTGCGGGCAGTTGGGCTCCCTCCCGCCGCTGCGTTTGTACATGGTCAGGACGAGGCCAGGACGAGGGAAACATCGAGTGAGGATCAGTCGAGGATCGCTGAGATCCGGCGGCTCTGGAGGACGTCTCAGGCGCCGCGGCCTTCTCAGAACTTTTTTCGGAAAACGCTCGGAGCGCTCTGGAACGGACTCGTCCTCGCCCTGGCCCCATCCGAATGGTGGCAGGTGGCACGCGGGAAACGACTGGAGAGGAGGGAGGTTGCGCCTGAGCAGAAGGCCGAGCGCAAATAGACACCCGAGTGCCGAGGGAGCCCGCGGCCCACGTGCCCGCGGCATCTGCAGCAAGCGGCCCCCGCGCGGCTCTGCCGCAGCCTCACAGGCGCACCGTGGCCTGGGGGGCATCGAGGCTGGGGACGTGCAGGCCCAGGGTCTCGACCGGCGCCTCCAACGGCTTCGGTTTGAAGGCGCCCTTCTGTATGAAGACCGGATATCTCACGCCCAGGACCTCCACCTCCAGGGCGCTCTCCAAGGAGGCGGTGGCGACGTAGCCGAAGGCGATGCTCTGCTGCGCTAGGTAGCCGTACCCGCCGCTGGTTGTGAAACCCACAACTTTTCCAGTGCCGCTGTCGAAGATGGGCTCGTTACCCGCGCAATCCTGGCCGTCCGGGGTGCCCACTCCCAAGTGCACTAGCCGTCGCTTCGCGGTGCCCTCTGCCACAATCGCGTCGCGGCCGACAAAGTCCTTCTCGTCGACACGCAAGAACTTGCTCTCGATACCCGCCTCCAGCGCGGTGTGGTCGCGGGTCATGTCGGAGCCGAAAGCCTTGAACCCTTTCTCCAGCCGGAAAGAGCCCATAGCGAAGCCACCCCAGTCGTTCAGGCGCGGCTCCGCAGCCTTCAGCGCCCTGTACAGTGGGGCCACGTCCTCTTGGGAAATCCAGGAAGTACCGACACCACGACTCCCTGGACTTCTCCCACTGTGCGCTCTGGCCGAAATTCGAGGCGAATCCAGCCGTGGAGGCGAAGGCCTCCGGGGAGGCCTTAACGCGAGACGAGGGTAGCGGTATCGGTGCGTGTTCCTCCCGCCGACCTCTGTGGCGGGGTGGAGCTCCCAGCCCAGCTCGCCGGTGAAGGAGACACGCAGCGCGCGGCACGGGATGCCCGCCAGCACCACGTCGCGGTGCTGGTAGAACTTGAATGAATCCTTCGCGGGGCGCAGCGGTGGGGTAGGGGCAAAAGGGGGGTCAGAGGATCATCGCTCTAAACAGCCACTGAAAGAAGGACAGGTGTGCATCCAGCTGGATTCGATCCCTGACCCCACCTTGGGGTAACCTCCCCTTCGGGTGCTGCTAGAAGTGCCCCTGGCCCAAGGTGCCCCCCAGGGATTTCCAAGGGCGGCCCCCGCGGCCTCCAGAGTATCCCTCACGAGGCCCAGATGGCCTCCAGAAGCACAAAGCTGGGGGCACCTTTGTCCAGGTTGAAGAAGAAAAAACGGCATAAACATAAACTGTTGGCGCTCTACGCGGACTTCCTGGATCTTCGCTGGACCCCCTCCCTGGCGCGCGGAGCGCGCCAGGGGCGGCGCCGGAAGCGCCGCTGGGGGGGCCAAGCGCGGATCCAAGAAATCCGCGCAGAGCGCCAACAGCTTATGTTTATGTTGTTTTTTTCTTCCACGACCAGGGGCAACTTTCGCACCCCCCGACCCCTCTACGATTAGGTCGGGCATGCCCCTCCTACAGGCGGATTGTGGATGAAAAATCAAACATATTGAAATAATATGCAAACATAGTCAAAGACAATAGAAACATCGTTCCCAGACTTGTTTGACTATTGTAGAATATTCCCCCTGTAGAGGGACACGCCCGACTTAAAGCAACCCCCGACCCCTCTACGACCCCCCTGGATCCTTCGACCACGCGGCCTCGTCGCCGGCCAGCTGCCCGAGGACCCGGCGGCTCTGCGGCCCAGAGACCATGAGCGTGCCGAAGTCGGCGGTGACGTTGCGGAGGTCGACTCCTCACGAGCATCGGACGTGTCCGCACCATGGGGGCCCATGCCAAGAAACACCCGGCTTGCCTCCAGGGTGCCCTGGGCTTCTTGGGTTCCGATGGTCTCGCGATGGACAGCGTGAGGCTCCCACACCAAAAAACACTGGACGTCCTGGGGTCTCAGGGTTGGGCTCCTCGTGGAAGGTCAGTGGACTGGCCTCCGCTGTATCCGCGCCCTCGCGGTCTGGACTCCTGGGCGCGATCCCGCGGATGCGCGGTCGCACGGATGCCTTCCGCGCGGGGCGTTCTCGTGCACAAGACGCCCGGTGCCCACCGGGATCGTGGCCCAAAACGCGCCCGGGGGCTCGGCCCGGGAGGCCGCGGAGACGGACGCGCGCTTCGCCCGCGAGCTCCCTCGAGCGGCTTCCTCATGCTCAGCCAGCGCCAGTCGAAGAGCTCCTGCTCCGGGTAGCTGACCTGGGGGGACAGGGCACGGCGCAGGCACGAGCTTCCGGAGCTCCGCGCGGACTTCTCAGGCCGGCTCTGGGCCCCCCTTGCTGGCGCGCGGACCGCGCCAGGGGCGGCGCCGGAGGCGCCGGGGGGCCCAGCGCCGACGCAAAAGATCCGCGCAGAGCTCTGAATGCTCATGCCGTTGCTTCTCCAGTGACCACGTAGAAGTCCTCCTCTCCTCGTCGGACTATCATGACCTCAGAGCTCACCTTGCTGGCGGGCGTGAGGAAGTAGGAGAGGGCACAGCGGCCCACCTGTGGGAGCCTGTTCGGCACAAGGCCGTCCAAGAACGCTGCGGCCCCAGGGCCGGTGACGCTGAACTTGGCAAACGGCCAGTAGCAGATGCCGCCAAAGTCCGCCATCCCGCGGCACTCGGCCTCGATCTTGTCCTGGTAGGCGGGGCGCTGGAAGGAGCCCAGGGCGTTGCCGTGCTGCTCAGTGGCCCCGGGGTCGAAGTAGTTGGCGGACTCCCAGCCGTTATGGAAGCCGAACTGTCCGCCCTGGTCCCTCACAGAGAAAGCAAATCTTGCATTAACATCTGCAAACTTTCGAGGGCCCGCGCAGATGTTTCTTGGATCGGCGCTGAGACCCCTCTCTGGCGCGCGGAGGCACCGCCAGGAGGGTCAAGCGCCGACCCAAGAAATCCGCGATCGCCCATCGGAAGCTCCTGTTGATGGAGGTGGAGGAGGAGGAGGAGGAGGAGGAGGGCGAGGAGGAGGAGGAGGGAGGAGGTGGAGGAGGGGGAGGAGGAGGAGGGAGGGCGAGGGGAGGAGGAGGGCGAGAGAGGAGGAGGAGGGCGAGGAGGAGAAGGAGGAGGAGGAGGAGGAGGAGGAGGGAGGAGGAGGGTGAGGAGCCTCAGGATCTCGTAGATGCCGGCGTTGGGCACGGGCTCCACGGGGCGCCCGGCGAGCAGGTTCTCGTTCGGGAAGTGCGCGTGGTTGTTCATGCCGTAGGTCTCCTTGACCTGCGAGGCGGGGCGGCATGGGGTTATCATGGGTCTGTTTTCCACCACCACCACAAGTTAGAGGGGGATAGGGTCCTCCTCCTCCTCCTCCTCCTCCTCTTCGTCCTGCTCCTCCTCCTGATCGTCCTCCACCTCCTTCTCCCCTCCAACGTATGGTCGTGGTGCAGGCCCATCAGAAGAGGGTTATCCTCGGCATGCTCTCAGCACGTGTCTGCCGCGCACTTGAGATTACCTAAGAATCGAGCGTTCTGCTGCTGGGAGGAGTGAGGAAATGAGGACGACGAGGAGGAGGAGGAGGAGGACGGGAAGCAGAAGGGAACAGCAAATGAGAAGTACGTGGAAGGGTCAAGCTGAGGGGACCGAGGAGACGCCAGCCTCAGGGCGGTCGAGAAGTCTGCACGTAATCCCACCAGCCCTTTGGGCGACAGGTGGTCTAAGGAGGGTCTCTCTCCTCTTCCATAACCCCTCTTCCCTTCGCGGATGGGAACCCTCCCCCTCCCCCTCCCCTCCCTGAGGTTTCCTGGGAGGGGGTCGCGATGTGTCGGAGGCTCCTTTTTCCGCCATTGGGAGGGCCATTTTCTGCCACCCGTCAAGAGGATCGTGGCCCCCGAGGGGGGGACGCAAATCCACTGCCCCCACTCTTTTGACCGACCGCCTCCAAGATGGCCCCAAGAGACCCTCCAGGGCTCACAGGAGACTCCCAAGAGGGCCCAAAGAACGCCCCAAGAAGCCCCACAAGGCCTCCGAAAGGCACCCGAGAGGCGCCCAAGAGGCCCACCCGAGGGGCCTCAGAGAGCTCAAGATTACCTCCAGGATGGCTCAAGATACCCACGCTAGCTCCAGATGTCTCCCAAGATGCTCCAAGGGGCCCCAAGACCGCTCCAAGACTGCTCAAGACGGCCACGGAGCCTCCCCAAGATGCCGCCGAGATGCCCAAATCCTCCTCCTCCTCCTCCTCTTCCTCCTCCTTCGCCCCCCCCCAAGCGGGCCCGTAGACGGCCCCAACACGCCGTCCAGGCCGGCCTCCCTGGCTGCTTGACATGCGTGTCTCTTCCTTGCTCCCCCGTCAACTATCATGGGCATCGTTTCTGGATGGGCTGGTGGGGATACGCGAAGCGTCAAGAATTCCCTCCCCGTACCGTATCATCTGGCATGTACCCCCACCGTGCCGCAAGGCACTGAGTGGACTGTGCCCAGGTCCCTCTAAATCCTCTGTACAGAATATACAATACTAGTTGAAGGGCATGCGGTCCTGAATTCTGGACGCTCATGGGGCTTCCATCGGCAAGAGGGCCCCAAAACGGGCCAAGAGGGCCTCGAGTGACACCCAAAACACTTCCAGAGGGTCCCGAATCGCTCAAAGATCGGTCCTGGATGCCCAGCACGGCCTGGAGACGGCGAAGAGGCCCCCCGAGATGCCCCGAGAGCAGCCCCAAGAGGGTCCCAAGAGGCCAAACGCTTTTGCTTTCTAAGAAGGCTTCCGACAAATCTCAGCGCCCTCGTCCCGGCGGGTGCCCGACGCTTCACGGCGGCCCCCGCGAGACCCCCATCCGAGACCATCGGCAGGCCACCACGAGGAGGAGGACGAGGAGGAGGAGGAGGAGGAGGAGGAGGAGGAGGAGGAACAGGAGGAGGAGGAGGAGGAGGAGGAGGAGGAGGAGGAGGAGGAGGAGAGGAGGAGGAGGAGGGAGGAGGAGGGAGGAGGAGGAGGAGGAGGAGGAGGAGGAGGAGGAGGAGGAGGAGGAGGAGGAGGAGTAGTGCCGCTTGTCCCCCAAGAAGCCTCAGGGCTTTACGGGGGCCTCGCGGGCCCTGAACAGGCCCGTGAGGCCCCCGTAGAGCCCCAACTGACCCTGCAATTGCCTCCAAAAGGCGTCCGAGAATCCTCCCAGGATATCCCGACAGGCACCCAGGAGACCTCTGGCATACAACCAGTGCGCGATCGCGAGCTGTGCTGGCGCAACATAAACATTACAATCGCCTTGAGGCAAAGAAGGTGAGGTGCGGGGCAGGGGGAGGAGGAGGAGGATGCCCGAGGAAGATGGAACGGAGGAAGCTGGAGTCTCACTGCGGGGCCAACAGGGACAAACGTCGCTGTCGGCGAGCCACTTTCTTACATCATGCGTCTCATTGTTTTCGAATTCTCTGTGTTGCACGTTTGTGCTGTCAAATGCTTTAACGCATCCTACTGCGACGCTAGAGTACGGAGGCCATGTTGCTTTGGCGCCGCGACTGTTGACGTGTACAGGAAACGAACGAGGCCGAGCTCGTCAGACAGCCTCTCAGCTTCCATCCTGAACCCTGCAGTGCGAGATCTAAACGCTCACAAGCGTGCCGCCAAGTCTGCGGGCGGCCCGCGGGAAAGGCCATCGAGCCCGGGACCGCGTATCATTCGCATCCCGCCCAAGATGACGAGGTCTCGCCCTCGCCATCGCTCGGACGTCCATTCCCCATGCATGTTTCGGCTTCGTGCATGTTTTCGCACGAGGACCCAGAAGGCTCCTCGATGGCCCACGCCGAACACATGCACACGTCCGAGCAATGCCAAGAGCCCGAGTCCGCGTAGGGTTAGGTCGGGCGTGTCCCCCTACAGGCGGAACTTGGGCGAGAAATAGTGGATATAGTCAACAAATGCCCCAAATGACCAAAAATGCTAAGAATCGTCCCCCAGACCATTTTTCGACTACTCTTGAGTGCTCCCCCTGTCGAGGGACAGGCCCGACTTGAGCGTAGGGAGGGCACCACTCCGCTGCAGCCCAGCAGCCCTCGAGGGGCGGCGGGCTCCTCGGCTCGCCCACCAGAGGTGGCGAGACACCTCCTCTGAGAGAGCGCTCGGTGCCCACTACACTTAAGTCGGGCGTCTCCCTACAGGGGGATGTTCGATGAAACAATAAAAAAAACAAAACATACTCCCATATTGTCAACAATCATTCAAAACAAGTCCCCAGACTATTTTTTAAAACTATTTTTGAATATTCCCCCTGAAGAGGGACAGGCCCAACTTAACACTACACTCGGGGGCGCGCAGACATGGATTAGCGATCCATGGACTTGGCGCGCGGTCGCGATATCCATGGATCGGGGGAGGTGCCCTCCCCAAGATGCGGCCGGTGCCGCCTCGCTCGGCGGCGGAAATCCGCGGTTTCCCACGGAAGCGGGGCCCGTCGCTAATCCGCGCCCCCTCAAGCCATGTCTGCGATCGCCTGGGAAACGGGCGACAGTCTCGCAGTTCGCCCACCCCCCCCCCCCCTCCCCCAAGGGATGGCAGGGCCCAAGCTGAGCATGCGATCGGAGCCCACGACGCCCGCCCCCCCGGCCGCCCTCGAAGGTGGCTGCGGTTTCACAGTTCGCAGCCCCCTGGGGATGGCGAGGCCTGACCCGCACCTGCGCTCGGTGCCCACTGCGCTGGCCCCCCCACCGGCAGCCCTCAAACGTGGCGGCAGTTTCTCAGTTCGCCCCCGCGCCCGGGGATGGCGAGGCTGTGTCTGAATCTGCGCTCGGAACCCACTGCGCTGCCCCAGCAGATCTCGAAAGCTGTTACAGGTTCGGAGTTCGCCCACCAAGAATGGCGAGGTCTAATTTGAACCTGTGCTTGGTGCCCAGTATATGCTGCCCCTCCAGCAGCCCTCGGGTGTGGCCACAGTTTCGCAGCTCGCAGACCCCCAGGGAAGAGGCGGGAGAAGAGATGGGAGAGAGGACGAGGGAGGCGGGACGGAGGACGGAGTGGAGGCCGCGATGCCCCACTCAAGATAAGAACCCAGGACAGTGAGGACGAACACACATTTTTTGTTGTTGTTTGTTTTTTCCCCCTGCACACACAGAGGAGGTGCCCAAAGAAAAAGCCGGTCTTGAGTAACATTTCCTCGGCGCAAGCTCAGGAAAAAAAACAGCGGTATTGAATAACTACTCGGCGCGTCAGCGCGCAACGAAGATGTCACGAAACTCGGCCCGCAAATGCGAGCGAAAGCAGACAAGGAGGTCGAGGAGGAGGAGGAGGAGGAGGAGGAGGAGCGGCACGAGGACGAACACACGCATGTGTTTCCCTTGGGACGAGGAAGCGGCCGATCTACAACACGACCGTGCGGTTCGAAATTCGGCCACGGCACTTCTTCTCTGCCCGCGGCCTTGGTACTGCCTGCCCGCGCCCCGAGTGGACTCTCAGCTCAACTTCGGAGGGGAGGGAGGGACGGGAAGAGCGAGGCGAGGGGAACGGGTCGGGGAACGGCGAAGGGGAGCGAGGGAGGAGAGGAAGCGAGGGGGGCGGAGGAGGAGAGGGGGGAACAAATACCCCCCTGGGCTTCCTCCTCCTCCCCCTCCTCCCCTTCCTCCTCCTCCTCCTCCTCCTCCTCCTCCTCCTCCTCCTCCTCCTGGCACCAACGACCTTCGTGGCCACCCAATTCTTGGTGGCCCACGGGCCGTACCGGCCGGGGTCTGCCTCCTTCGGGGCCGGCTCGGCGCCGTTGCCGTCGATGTCCCCCCCCCCTGCTTTGCTGCTACCTGCTTCCCCTCCGTCCTCTCCTGGTCCTGCTCCCTGTCGTGGCCATGCCCTTGCACTCTCAGGACCCTGAGATCCGACGTTCCAAAAACATTGGGGCAGGCGGTTTTGGGCAGTTTTCGGCCCCGGGGGGCCCTCGGGAAGTGGTCCGGACCTCGGGGGCCCACGCACCAAAAGATTGGAGCAGCCGGATGTCTGGGGAATGACTCCGAAGTGCCAGAACTCCACGTAAGCATCACCCCAAGGTGACCTCTGAGACCAGCCTGTGCCCAGTTCTACATTGTCTGCGCACCCCGCCTGGGCTTCGAGTGAACTCACTCATACACAGCCGAAACATACTCGTCACGCCACGCGGCGGCAGCATGGGGCACATCGGGTCGGCTCTGGCGTGAATTCAAGTTGAAGTGTGAAACATCAACGCGTTCACATGTCGAACCAAGAACGTCACCAACCGTCTGGGCGCAGGTTGTTTAGCTATGTTTCTCGTCCA